AGGAAGATAAATTCTCTTTCCACTTGATTGTTATCTCCAGTCCTTCAAAACTTAGAATTACTTCATTTATATGGAGGTGACTGGGGAGGAGTTTGAGGCGGAGGGCTAGATCACAGAATTTTACCGCAGAGAGGTAAAAACAGAAGGAAAGGATGTGGTGGTGCCGTGGGAGGGACTGCGGGAGGAGGGCAGGGCGGCCAGGAGCATGGCAGGGTCCCTCTTGCCGCCCAGGGCAGTGGCAGCAGTCGGGTCCTGCGGAGCCGGGGAGGTGACGAGGGCTGGGGCTGTCACAGCCCCCTGGGGCTTAGCGAAACCCCTAGCCCTGTGCGGTGGAGTCCTCGCTGGAGACCTTGTTAGCACCTTATCTCCCGACCTTACCTGCTGAGGGGCTTGGCTGGCATCTTCCAGTGCCTTTCTCCTGTGCGGATTTGTGTTGCTGTCATCGGTTCTTCAAATGTTCTGTGGGATCCCAGGAGGAATTAATGTGCGAGGGAGGGCTTTATTCCGCACCCGTTCTTGTCGCGTCGCTGGCGTTTCGCCTCCTGCTGTCACCCGTTTCAGAAAATCTCAGCTGGGAACTGCGCTGATCATCGGTCCCTCACTTCTTACCTGCGTTTGTGCCATTAATGACCCTTCACGGAATTCATCTGTTGCTCCTCGGTCCCGCTGGGCTGGGGCCCGGCCCCGCAGCCGGCCTGGGGCCCTCGGCGTTGCGGGTCTCTCCCACAGCCCTTGCCCCTGGTCAGCATTCCTGACTTTGCAGCTTTGGTCTTTCTGTTGTGCTGCTTGGGTGAGGAGAAAGGAAGGAGGGGATGGGGAAGGTCCTACAGCCTTTGGTAACTTGCTTCATCTCGTTGGACCTGGCTTAGTTCTGGGATTATTTCTATAAATGCCTTCCCCCCCTGAGACTTTGTTCTCTGTTGCTCGTTAGTTTAAAGGGGTGTGCAGGCAAGCAGAGCTGTAAAATCAGGCGTACCTCTGCTTAGCGACCAAATTCACTTTTCCTCTTTCTGTCTGAACAGCGGCCTGTGCCGCGCGTGTAAAGCGCAGCGGGTGTCAGGAGGGGCCGTGCTGGCAGGGCTGGAGCTGCCTTGGATTCTGTTTGCAAGGAGCCAGGCGCGGGTCGTCCCGGCCGTCGGTGGGATGGTGGCCTTTCTGCCTGAGCCGACGTCCTCCATGCGCCTGGTGAAGGTGCACAGCAGCTCCACAGAGGACGTCGGCCACTGGCGTACAGGTAGTGACTGCTGGGGTTGAAAAGAAGAAGAAAAGAAAGCCTTTTCTTAAAAACAAGCAAAACCCCAAATCTCAAAGCGCTGTCCTTCCCCATTCTTCTGTTTGCAGGCTGCTCCTGCTTTCTCACAGTGCAGGAGTTGGTGGATACCGTAATAGATAAATGTGGTAACAGGAGTGCTATTGGCAGCTCTTTCTGTTTTAAACATCGCTTGTGGCTGGCTCCTGCTTACGTTCAAAACTCATTTCTGGTCTACCTTCAAAACGTAGCTGCTGTAGATTTGCTTCACATAGGTTTGAAATCTTCAGTATTTTAGGGAGCTCTGAGTTCTCATATTTGTGTCTCCTTTAGTGGGGAGGTATGGGTCGATACAGTGATGCTCTCCATTTATAATACTTGTCATCCAAGGACCTCAAAGCTGTAATGAGGATGACAAATAAATAGTATTGCCCATCTCCTCCCAGGCTGGGTAGCAGAGGTGGAACAAGCAAGCCCATCGTTGGCTTTCTGCCGTGACCCCTCTTATGGGGCCACCAGATGCAGAAGAGTCCAGTGATCCCCAGTACTGTCTCCAAGAGCCGTGGTGGCAGAGCTGCTGCTAAGAGCTAGGGCCGTCTGGTTTTGCACTGTGATAGCCTCTCCGTGCTGCTTCAGCATGGGTCTGGGTTAGGCGGTATCTTGACGGTGTCTTACTGCTGTGAGTTCTAGCGATGTGCCCTTGACACTTCCCACAAGCAATGTCCCGGGGCATCAGAAGGACTGGGAGCACAGGAAACAAAATCCAGTAACCCCTTGTCCCTTCTTGGGAGCAACATCGTGCCTCCTTGTAAGAGACGTTGCCTGTGGCATGCCGCGTTGGGGAGGGGTTGCTGGGAGTGGAAGAACTGGGTAACGGTAGAGGAGTTGAGTCGCCCCTGGGTCACTGCGCTGCAAGGAGCCTCGATAGGTTGCTCACCCGAGGGATTGCTGCCACTGCTCGGGATTCAGCTGGGCAAATTTTTCAATGTTTGATCTGGCTTCTCAGAAACCATCTCGCCTGGCATACGGGAGGTAGGTGCAGAACTGCTGGAGGGCCCTGGAGCCGCCTTGTCTCCTTCCCTCTGATGTACTGCGTTGTTCTCGTGTTTAATCTTGCAGTGTTTTCATTTAGTCAGGTAGCAAACGGGGAACTTCTACCACTTGCAGTAGTATTTAAAAACAAAAGTGAGATTGTGCTCTATTTATCCCCTGGGATTCCTCAAGTCTGGATAACTTGTTCAAATGTTCTTGATCAGTAGCAGTCTTTTCTCCCTTAAAAAGCCGTGGCTAACGCAAACTTAACGCAAATAGCTGCGCCCTCCTTATTTACAGATTTCCACTCAGGTTTGACTGAAAATCTCAAAACACGCTGAATAAAAACCTTATGTTTGTGCTTAACATAGAAAGACTCTGTCTGAGCCCAGGCGAAGCTCTCGCAGAGGGGTCCTGTGCCCCGGGGTGCGTTTGCCGCAAATTCAGGTTTGCGTGCTTTGGGATGTTGTGTCAGCCGTCATCTTGCTCCTGGCTGTAAATACGGGCTGAAGCGGGGTTTGGTTTTCCTTTGTGGGTTTACAAAAGCGACTGACTTCTGTTCATTTTGGATTATTCTTAAAACTTAAGAGGTCCCCAGGACACCTCGTGACTGGCGATGAACAAAGAGGAGCGAGGAGCGCGTGGGGTGGTTGGGTTGTTAACGTGGCAATGCCTGTTACCTGCCAAGGCCGTGCTTTGTTTTGAAAATGAATTCACAGCCCTGCCTGCGGCCTAGCGCAGGACTTCCTTACCTAGTTTTTATAACCACCAGAAAATCTCAATTAGACATTTGATAATCCCCAAGATCTGGCTCTCTTGATCGTTTGAATCTGGCCTTTTGGTTTAGATCATACACAAATCATATACAAAGCATGTTCCCAGATCATATCTGTGTTGTGGAGTGATTTAAAAAAACAAACAACCAAAAAACAAACAAACAACCAAAAACCAACTAAAAACCAACCAAACAATCAAAACCCCCCAAAAAACCCCAACCCTGTGCCATCTTCGTAACTTCAGGTTAGACGTCGACTTGCAATCGCAGCAGCTCCTGGCTTGGCTGTTCTCTCGGTACAGCGGCAGCCCTCGCGCGCTGCTCCTCGGGGGCTGTCTCACCGAGTTCCGAATGAGCAGGGAGTTGCTAAACGAGCACTTAATGAGACGGCGTTTTCCGAGGGACTATTCTACTGCTGGCCTGGCTGCCTTCGGGTTTTATTTCTGTCTGCAGCTTCCTTGTTCTGGCTTTGGGCTACGCTGTTCGGCCGGGGGGAAGGGCACGGGTGGGAGATGTGGATGTTTTGTTCTCTGTGTTTATTAATTTAAGACGTCCCTGAGCTGGGGCCAAGATTCATCCCGGTTGGCTTCAGGCGCAGAACGAGGGGCCTCTACTTTTGCTTGTGCCTGGCCCCGCGCCCCCGGCTCCCCTGCACCGAGTGCAGTAACTTCCATCGCAAATGCTGAGAACGTTCATTGCTTGAGGAAATAATTGCTCTTAAGGAGTGAAAATTTCCCCTTCTTGACCAATAACGTCTGGATTCCAGACCTGTCAGGAAGGAGGGATCCACAAAAGGGAGGTGATGGATAGCAAGGGACAAACGTGGAGCGCTTTCCTCCTCAGCTGTCAGAAAACTTCTGTAGATGTTACAGGCTCACAGAACTGGTTGTCTGTTACAGTCCTGTAGACAAGAAAAAAAGAAATAATTTTGGTTTTCTTTTTTACTACTTACAAATCTTTATAGCCACCTACGGGCCAGTCTTCATGCAACAGGCAGTCAGTATAAATTAGGAAGCTTAAAGCTGTATCCAACTATTTGAAAATAACACACTTGGTGAGGAAAATGGAGCGCAACGGCAACCTCATGCCTGTGTATTTGCCTCCGGGCAGCCGTGCCATCCCTGTTGCTAAAGGGAGGATGTTGGGGCAGCTCTCTGGTTTTCTGTTCCATACGCTCTGCTGCCTGCCGCAGGTCCCGTACATT